TTCATTACTCCCCTGATTTTGGTAAGCAATGGTAAGTACTGTACGTTGTTGAACAAAGCTCCTGTAGAAGTGGGAGGATTGAAAGGGAGATGGAAATGAAAGCTTTGAACACATGATAATGCATTTGACATAAGAGGGCAGCCAAACAGCAGTTTTAAATTTGGGTCTCTTGGTTTTCTCTCACCCAACTGGAGGATTTCTAAGGGTAATGGTTTTTGGTTGGTTGGGGTTTTTTTTTATTCTGTTTTGTTTTGGCTAGGTGTGGAAAAAAAACTGGTTGTCAAGAATAACAGGCTGTAGAACGTCCCTGAGCAAACTATTTTTAAAACAATGGCATCAAAATTATTCTAGCTATAAATTCCCCTTCCAGAATTCTAAGCAGTAAGATTATTTTTCCAAAACTTAATTCCTAAAATACAACATTTTACTCTCAACAGGGTTGATTTATGAAATTCCAACAATTCCGAGCTCGTGTGAATGACCTGATTACGACCTCTTGAGTTAGAAAGCTTTAGAAAACCTTAAAATGTTAATATGAGGTTTTCAAAGTGGCTGAAATAGAACAGAAAAGCATGTTTGTGCATAAATTTTGAATTAGATGGGGAAAATAGTTTGTATGTGAGATTGTTGTTAGTTGCGAAGTCGTGTCCGACTCATCGCGACCCCATGGACAACGTTCCTCCAGGTCTTCCTGTCCTCTACCATCTTCTGGAGTCCGTTTAAGCTCACGCCTACTGCTTCAGTGACTCCATCCAGCCACCTCATTCTGTCATCCCATTTTTCTATTGCCCTCAATCTTTCCCAGCATTAGGCTCTTCTCCAGTGAGTCCTTCCTTCTCATTAGGTGGCCAAGGTATTTGAGTTTCAACTTCAGGATCTGGCCTTCTAAAGAGCAGTCAGGGTTGATCTCTTCTAGGACTGACCGGTTTGAACGCCTTGCAGTCCAGGGGACTCGCAGGAGTCTTCTCCAGCACCATAGTTCAAAGGCCTCAATTCTTTTGCACTCAGCCTTTCTTATGGTCCACCTTTCACAGCCATATATGTGAGATTAGGGAGAGATTATTCATAATTGCTCAGCTATACTATCTCAGGGCTATTGTGAAGATAAAATCGGAAGAACTATGTGTGAAAAGATTAATAACAGCAAGAAGATCAACATAATACAGGAAAAAAATAATGACTACACCAATATATATATATATATATATATATATATATATATATATATATATATATATA